AGCTACTGTTGTGTTTGTGTGGATTATTTTGGGTATTTTTAGGTGGTTTGAAGATCAATAGTTTTCCTGGTTTGTTGAATAACCACCTTTTGTTTTGATTTTGATTCGATTCTTGTAACAGTAGCTTTTTTTTATGTTTAAATGGCTTGATTATTATGTTTTGATAATTTGATGTTCAAATGGTTGATTATTATGTTTTAATCTTCAAATAGTTTGATAGATTGGTAGTTTTTTTGGTTTGATGAACAATAGATTTTTTGTTTGAGTTTGACTGAACTGTTGTAAAGTTCAAACATGTTTGAGGGGTAGATCGGTTATTATTGTCATATAGACGATTGATTCAGGTAAAAAAAAAAGTAAACAACAACAAATTTTTATCTATACAGAAAAATTTATCCATACAAAACTTAATGAAAAATTTGGTAAACAACCCTATTTCTTTCAAAGTAATTACAAATTTGGTCAATACGGTTGTCAGTTTCTTTCAGATTTGGTCTCTTTAACTAACTTTTGTTAAATACTTTAGTTAACTAAAGGGCTTTTAGGTCTTTTTACATTTTTGTTTTTTCTTTTTATTTTAATGAGACTTTCTTTTTGTCTTTTCTTAATACCACCCACCATGAAACTTTACATTTATTTATCATACAATTTTATTAAAATATAATAATATATAATTAATTATCATAGTAAAAATAACTATTATTTAATAATTATGAAAATAAATTAAGCTATTAAAAATTTTAAAATTAATGTAGCAAAATTAATAAATAATAGATATTACTAAAAAAACATTAAATTTATTTATCTTCTCCGAATTATGATTAATTGATTTCGGTTGAAGAAAAAATTCACTCAAATTTTGATTTTTGCATCGTGTAATCTAATTTTCTTGAAAGAACTTTCGATTCAAGACTGATTTTTTAAAATTTTAATTTTCCTACCTAAATTGTGTCTTTATAATTTATATGTTTTAACACCATGCGTCCGTATTTTGAGACATCTATAGATTACGTCTCTGTGGTTTGTATTTTATAACACATTGAGTTCCTAAATCTGATGCCCTCCAAAAAAATTTCTGTTAAATGTAACTAAGAGGGGCATTTTAGTCATTTAATTAATTTTTTATCCCCAACCAAAAAACCACTAATTAGAGGCGAGACTCCCAATACCAGAAACGACGGCGATGAGAGGAGTAAAGCTGCGAGTGGCGGTGAAACTGGTGATGCCGGGAAAGCTTGGGAAGCATGCGGTTGCCAAGGGGACTAAAGTATTCACGACTTACATGTCCTACGGTGCCGATGGATTTAAGACCATCTCCTTCTCCAGTTCTCACACCATGGCTCCCCTTCCTCTTTAGATCCAGATCTAAAAATACTTCTGCAGATATAGAGGGTGAGGGAAGACGGACACATGGCAATATGTTATTGGTATTCTTTTTGTTTTTTGACTTTGTTTTTTTAAGGTAAAATGACAAAAATGCATAAAATGACCAAACTGCCCATAATGTGCCATGCACATAGCCACTTTAACGAAAGGATTTCAAACAGAGTTAGATTTAGAGACCTAATGCGTTGTAAAGTGCAAACCACGAGGATGTAATCCATAGATATTTCAAAAATAAGGACCCAGAGTATTAAAACACATAAATCATAGAGACTAAAGGGTTGTTTGGATCATGGGAATTGAAAGAAATTGAAAGGAATTGGAATGTCCAATCCTTTGACCAAATTCCAAATAGAGTGTTTGGTTCATGAAATAAGACTATGGAATCCTTTCAATTCCGGTCGATTCCTTCACGCACAGATTTTACAATTCCATGGCAATATGCTAGGATTTCAATTCCTTTCCTACAGATTCCTTCCCTAATCCAATTCCGTTAAGAATTCTATTCTAATTCCATGCAAACGCAATCACAAGGCATGTCAGATTTCATTCCATTCCCTCAAAGTCAAATTCATTTAATGAATTCCAATTCTATCGAATTCCATTCTACGAACCAAACACCCCCTAAGAATGTAATTTACACCAATTAATATATAGTTTAGAAACTAAATTACTGGTTAATTAATTGTTTATTCTTAAGATTTCCTATAAAATTGTTAAGATAACAATTCATTCTTAGGTCATCAAACTTATGGGTCGTTTACCAAACACTTATCCGATAAGCGCTTACCGGTAAAATTCAACATTATCACTCTCTTACCCGGTAAGATTTTAGTCCACCAAAACAGCATTGGATACAACAATTTACCTGGTAAGTGTTAACTGTGATAAGAGTCATCGTTCTCACTTACCGGATAAGACTCTCGGTCCTTGCCTTGCTCTTACCAGGTAAGATTCTTGGTTCTTGCCATATTCTTTCGCAAGTTAATATGACTTGGTAAGCACTTACCCTGGTAAGCGTTTGGTAAACAGCTCCTTAGTCGATAGAACTTGCCACGTCATAAAATTTCGTTCTAAAAACATATAGCTTTTTATTATATAAACTTAAATTCCCATTATAAGTACTCTACTAGAACGGAAAAGGACGATTGTGTGACCAATTTCATTGTGGTGTGTGACATACCGATGACCCTACGTTTAGTGATGAAAAACCGCTGCATGGTGTTCGATTTTTTTGCAAAAATTATATTGCATATAGGCATGTTAGAAACCGATATTAATAAGTAGTGAAATCGGATTAAACACGTTGTTAGTTAAACGTAATAACTTGGGTCGAATGCGGGTTTGATTGCGGTAACCGGGTAGACCTTTCTTTATTTTGGGCCTGTTGGGTCAAAGTGGATGTAGCCGGGTTTGGAGCCCCATGGCCATAATTATTTATTTATTATCTTATTTTACTTTAATATTCTTAATGTTAAAATAAATTCCAGAATATTATAATTAAGCTCCTCAAGTTCTGAAAATTACGAAATCAGCTGTTTTTTAATTTATTTAAGAGTAAATTACATGTTTAGTCCCTATGATTAATGTTGTTAACGATCCTTATCATTTTTCTAAAAACTTCAACGGGATCGTGTCCCTGTGGTTACATGTTTACAACGAGTTGGGTTATTAATGCAACTACATGGACTCAAGTCGTTGATTTATTTTGAGACCAAACTCGTTGAAAAACTGTAACTACAAGAATAAAACTTGTTAAAAAAGTGCAACCGCTTGATTGTAATTCGTTAACAAATGTAACCATAAGAACATGTTCCCTTATTTTTTCTAGTTTTTTGACATAGACCGTTAAAAACAGCTGACCACAGGGACAAATCATGTAATTTACTATTTAAATTATTTGAATCTTTAAAATTTATCAAGAGACCTCTAAGGAATGAAGGAGTAAATTGCGTTTTTCGTTCCGTTTGGTTTGTTAAGAATTGTGACTTTTATCTTTGTGGTTTCGAAATTGTGGTTTTCTTTCTTATGGTTTGTGATAGCAATTGTGGGCTTGGATTGAGCCAATATCGTGGAGGCCATGGAGGGCCCAACAAGACCTAGTCGGTTCCAGCAAACTTGAATCGGTCCGAGAGGACTCGGGTCATCCATGCGTTATCGAGAGTAACGAGGAGGTCAACATGCGTTATCGAGAGTAACATACCAAAGAGACAAAAAAAAATGTAATTTACTCTAAATTTAACAATAATTCTCTACGGTTTTGGAATACCATCGGTCAATTTTATGATCATTTAACTATTAAAAATTAAACTTGTAGACCCTAAACTTTGAAAAATAATGATTTGACACCAATTTAATATATTTTGAGGTTATAGGATTTTCGCAATGTCCTTAAACAGTATAGAATTTTATATCTGGAATCTTGCTTTAAATTTTAGTACTTTATTTTTATTAACATGAATATTCAACCCGCAATGCAACCATATGGTTTTCGGGTAGCCCGGAGTCATCGTATTTGAACTTCCGTGACCACAAGGGGATTTTTTATTCCTCCTTGGATTCGAACCTGGGACCTCCAGACACTTTTGATCTTTGGAGCTCAAACTCAAACCAATCGGCACCACCCTTGTGATTAATATTTTTTAGTACTTTTAGTACTTGTTTAATCCAAAACCTTATATAAAATAAATTTTTAGCCACGAAAATACAAGTTCGTCGTATAAAATATAGTTTATCATATTTACTCGAATTTCTTGTGAGTTTTATTATTAGGGTAGACTAGTATGAGAACCGCGCGATGCGCGATACTGTAAGTAAAAAAATTCTTTCATAGCATAAACAATAACTAAAATAAAATCATTCTAATATATAAAGAAACAAATAAAATAAACCAAAATAACCTACATAGATCCCTATGCATATGGTTCAACTTGGTCAGTAGTCGAAGCCTCTTCTTCTATGCTTACTCAATCGTTTATCATCCGTCTCTATCTTCAATATATTCTAATCCTCGATGAAGCTTTTTATGAAGATTTTCTTGTATACAATATGGAATAGAATTGCATTAACCATTATAGGCGTTAGAGAGAATCATAATAATAAATATGAGAAGAAATAATAGAAGTTGGATTTTAGAGAATATGAATATATAAACTTAGTAAACTATTACCTTATCTACTCGGTGGATGGATGAATGTTATTGAATACTTCATGGTAGACAATGTTTTTTATGAGTGTACGGTGTTCCATTTCTTCATCAGCATTTATTATGGTTAATCCTTCATGCGATGTCACTCGTGAAACAGCCACATATAGTTGTCCATGTGTGAAAACCTATCAATTGAAATATTATGCAATTATATGTGAATATAAGTACATATTTAAATATGCTAATATAAGAAAATTGAGGAGTGTACCTGTTTCGGGAGGTATAGGCCAACACGACTTAAAGATTGTCCCTGGCTTTTATTAATTGTCATAGCAAAACATGAGACCAACGGTATTTGACATCGATTAAGCTTGAATGGCCATTTTGATTCGTTGGGCGACATTATTATTCTTGGAATAGTGACATTTTTTCCTTTATTAGTTCCTGAAATAATGTCACCTCTAACAGACTATGTTCCAAGTAATGTGACGATCAATCGTGTTCCATTGCACAATCCTTCTGTTTGATTGATGTTGCGTAATAACATAACCGGGGCTCCTACCTTTAGCTGAATCTCGTGATTTGGTACGCCATTGAATTGCAAACCATTTAAGAATTCAGTTGGATAAAGGAGGTCTTCCTCATTTGTTTGTACACTTCCTTTGCAAACTGTGTCTGAACTTAGATATATTTTTCCTTCTCCTGGAAGCATGTCCATGATAAATGTGTTCAATTCTTGGACCATATCATTTTTTGGCGTGAGAATTGCCCTTTCAGTTATATATGAAGGACAATTACAGTTTTCCAAGAGAGAAGGATATATCATTTCAACCACTGATTCAATTGGGTTGCCAATTGTTTTTGGGAAGATGCCAGCGGGCAACTTTAGCAATTCATTTGTTACATCATCGTAGGCAATGCCATTTCCGATTTGTAACATCCATGAGTCAAACGCCTTAATATTTATCATATTTGTCGGTGACAAAGTGTTGCATTGCAAACACATATTCTCATTGAGCTCGTATACTTTGAACAAAGGCCACAAATAAGATGAATTTAGTGCGGCATTCACAATGTCGGCTCGATTTCCCCTTGGTATTACTGGCAAAATTTGCCGAAAGTCACCACCACAAGCAACTGTGAGTCCACCAAATGGTTTGTCTTTACTATTTTCATAACAACAACTCATTATGTCACGCAAACTTTTATCCAATGCTTCAAAGGAGTGTTTATGTGCCATAGGGGCTTCATCCTAAATAATCAATGTCGTTTGTTGAAGTAACTCAACTATATGTGTGCCGTGACGAATTTCGCAAGTTGACTCTGTAGTTAAATCCAATGGGATTCGGAATCTTGAATGAGCCGTTCTTCCATTTGGTAGTAACAAAGCTGCAATGCCTGAAGTAGCAACCCGTAATACTATCTTTCCTTCTGATCTAAGTCTTGATACGACTGTATTCCAAAGAAAAGTTTTCCCCGTTCCTCCACGATCGTGAATGAAAATCAAGTCACCTCGATCATTGTACACTGACGCAAGAATGGCATCATAAGCTTTTCTCTGGCAAGTATTAAGACTGGAAAATGCGATGTCATGAGCAACCTTCAAATCCTGGGTACAATAGTCAAGCTCTTCATTGACCAATCCGTTACTAAATTCTCGTAAAAGTTCGGTATTTGGGAGTGGCATTCCATCTATGTCTTTTAAACTTTTTCCCATTTTCAACATGATTGCCTCGATCTCGAACAATGTGTGAGCTTCAATTTGATCATCCGTCAGTTGCATGCCGTATGCTTTGTATTTTTTACGTTGTAGTGTTGCTATATCTTCGGACAATGCTGCGTAATTTCTTTTCCAAAGATTTGGTGCATTTGAGACTTGGCAATTTGCAAGAATTGTGACAAACAAATGTCGCAACTCGTGACAGTTGCCCAATTTGCTGCCTCTGTTAAGCAATTAACCCATTCATTATCATCATCATCATCATCTAACAATCCAAGAGCATAGCAAGCTCCCTTGAAAGAAGGATATGTGATGCCATTCACCGTTCGAATGTGTTCGTACGAAGTGCACCCTTTTACAAAGTTTAAAAGCATGCGCATGTAAAACCTTTTGCCGGATGACGGATGGGTGAAGTATATTCTGCTAATTGATATGCCCTTTTTATGTCTTGTCCATATTTTATCTCTTGCATTCCAGACCCAGTGTTTTGGGAATGTTGAGTAACTAAGTTCTCTGGCATCGGGATTTCTTTTGTTGGTTTCAAGCCATTCTGTGAACTTTGTTCTACTTACTCCAGGTTTGACCATTACCGACTCCGGGTTATCATTTTCGTTAAAAACAACTGGTTGTTCATCTGGAAGATGGAAAGGTAACCGCTCCCCTGCTGGATATCTGAAATGAATATCATACTGGAAAATACGCCAACATGCTTCAGCAGCCGAAATGTATCTGCAATCTAAATATGTCTTTATTTCATCATGGTCATCATTCGGGTTTGTTGAATAAACTGTAGCAGTAGCTCTATCAGAACCCTTATGTATGTACTTGAATAGGTACTTCACGACTCTTGAATGATTACAAAGCTCAACATTGATATGAGCATCGAATTTAACAATCAGACCTCTGTTATGAGGTACGACATATCGATTGTCCAACTTATGTGTTTTCTTCTCCACAAAAGCTCTTGTATCTCTTCTTCTGTATATTGGAAATCCATCTTGATCAATTACTGTGTGCGGGACAAATTTTTTGGAAAAATGCTTAGAGCATTTGCTCTGTAACATACACGGGGATGATGGATAGAGATCTCCGCATGGCCCATGAATCATGAATTTGGTTACTGCATTAAACCCATCTGGATCGATACTTTGATTTGGAATCTCGGCTGTGACGATTCTGTCAATACGATCTGTTGATGGGTTTTTCCCTGACGACTCCAAGAAAAGTAATATGTGTGCATGAGGAAGACCTCTCTTTTGAAACTCAATGGTATATAAACATGAGTATAAAAAAAAGGACATGGTTGTTTGTTATGCATAATGAAAAAAATACATGCAAATGAGAAAGTTTAATTGCATGTTAGACAAAAAGGCAACTTATAGTAAACAGTTGATACTTACATGCAATTACCGTTCCGAATGGTTTTCCTATTTTTAAGTCCGCCATCAACTGTTTGAGCTTTATTTCGAAAACCCTGCTTACAATGTCAACCCGATTTGGATCATCTTCTTGTTTTATTAAGTAGAGCATTTCATTTATCTCCGGCCATTTGGGGTTGCAAGTAAATGTCAGAAAAATATCCGGGTACCCAGCCCACTTGCATATTGCCATGGCATCTTGGTAATTTTGAACTCTGTACCTTGGACTACCGGTATGTGATGAGGGTAGTATTATTGACTTTCCGATTTTTTTTCCATCTGTGTCACCACGATTTATGGCATCCATCAACCCAGAAAATAAATCTGTTCGTAATTGATCTTTGATTATTACGAATCCACCGAAATCTGCCTTCTTCAATCGTCATATAAGCATCGACAATGTATTGTTGAAGAAGCCTACCTGCACGAAAAAGAGTATGGCCCTCGTTTGATCGTTGTTGCAAACGAAAACAATAGTATTGTCGCATTATTACAAATTGTCTCTTTGAAGAAGATCCGTCCATTTTTTGGAGTAATATATTTTGCCTGAACCCATCTTCACCGTAAGGATGTATTAACAGGTATGTCATCGACATAAAAGACGGATGGAGATCAGTAATCCGTTGAAGTCCAGTTGTACGATGTTCAACAATAACATCACGCTCGAAATTGTTTTCGCTCAGGTCACCAACAATCAAGCCTGCAACTTCATTAGCACTTGGTAGATTGTATTGTCGGCCATCCGTTGTGCGACTGTTTATGATCCGTAATCGAAAAACAGTATTCGGTTCACACATATATCTGTCTCTTGCCATGCGAAATGAATGTACTAACACATTGCTTTCTTCTAACATTGTAGACAAATCTTGTATAATTTGAAGATCAAGGCCGTCCACTCCAAATTGCCTTCTCATTGCTTCAATTATGTTATTTGTCTCATTTTCAGTGTCGTAGATATAAAGTTGCGCGAATTGAGGTTTCTTCCCAATTTCTGGTAACAAAGAACCAATCCTATGATAATTTTGGCCACTAACCCTGTAGATGTAGGGACCTTTCGCACAATTAATCTTGGAATCCACATGTTGATCATCTCTCTCAGTGATTTGATGATAATCCCTTTTATCTTTCACGTTGTATTTATGTTTATGTATTTTCAGTTCTAGCGATCTTCACTGAGTATGTTCAGTGATCGCTGAATAACTTGCATTGTAAATCTATCAGAGACAGCAATATTTCAAGAAGATAACACTCACACGAAAGAACCTTCAGCAAACGTGGAAGACTGAAATTGAAGATTAGAGACCGGCGAGTACGTGATCTGAAGCGGTATTCAGTGATTACAAG